GAGGAGGAGGAGGAGAAGAAGAAGAAGAAGAAGAAGAAGAAGAAGAAGAAGAAGAAGAAGAAGAAGAAGAAGAAGAAGAAGAAGAAGGAGAAGAAAGAGAGTGGCCTCACTATTTTCTTCTCTTTTGATCTCTAAATATTAGCATCTTTGGTTAATACTACAGAATACCCTACTCGGGGTTGGGAATTTAGCTCAGTGGTAGAGTGCTTGCCTAGCAAGCACAAGGCCCTGGGTTCGGTCCTCAGCTCCAGGAAAAAAAAAAATACCCTACTCTACATCCCTTGACAGAGACCAGCCCTGGAGTTATCCTGTCCATTGGCACTTCTCCAAAGCCCAGGTAAGAGAGTTTATTAGGCTCAGGTGAAGCGTGCCAAGGTCACACACTAATCTTCAACAGAGTGCAAATGTCCAGTGAGTGTTTTGGAACTATATTATCTCTGAGGACTCGTTTTCATTTTGGGGTTGAATTGAGACATTCTTGTTTTATCGAGGGACAATTTAAGAAGTTCCCCTGAACAACTGGATACCACATTTTCTGTAAGGACCCTGTTCAGTGGATTTCTTGTTGTTTCTCATTGTTAGTACTCAGAGTTGTGTTTACGTATCCACCACAGAAATATGGTTTGTCTCCTTCCTTTGTCCTGACTCTTCATTCAGCAAGCAACCATGTGGCTTCTGTGTACTCTGTCCGCGTGGGAAGAATGCGTCATGACGCAGACCTTTGAGTGCTTCCTACAGCAAGCTAACACAGTTACAAATATCCTGTGGTCGGGAGGTGAGATGTGCCAATGTGAGATTTCCCACTCCATGTTGTAGCAGTCTCTCTCATAAACGACTAAATTAGAATTCGGATTGTACTCCACTGTTCTCTCTATTTTAGCTCATGTGAACCAATTTCTCATAACCGGATCACCTTCCTAATAAGCACTGAGAAAGAAAGAAAAAGTCTCTAGGCTTTCAAGTGGGGGGCGGGGCGGGGATTCCATCCGCTTTCTGTGAGGCGAAGGGCTGCCTCTTACCGTCCTTCTTATAACACAGGCCTCCCTAAAGGTCTCAGGTAAGAGTCTCACTGTGGAATCAAGTCGCTGGAAAACCTCCACTAGCCCAGGAAGGACGAAGCAGATGCAGATTCTGTTTCCTGTCCACATCTTTCCTTCTTTATCAGGGAACTTAGTCAGTCACCTGCGCAAGATCTTGTAGAAGGGTTTCCCAGATTTCTCATGGTTGTGAACTGCTTTTGAATGGTAGAACATGGGACAACCAAACTGAATGAATTAAGCAACTAAAAACAAGTCTCAATCAATTATCACACCATCACAGGGGCTATAGAATTCACACACAATTAACCTCTATTATTAAGTTAATTAATGGCCTCCTTTATGATTGTAACTGTTGGAAAATCATTCGTGTCCGAGAAGTAATTTCTTCCCTATTTAAAAAAGTATTTATTTTTTAAAAATTCAATGCCTGTGTTTGCACAAATGTATGTATGTATAGAGTACACTAAATGTGTGCAGTGCCTCTGGAGGCCAAAAGAGGGCATTAGATTCCCAGGAACTGTTGTTACGGACAGTTGTGAGCCACCATGTAGATGCTGATAAACAATCTGGGTTCTCTCCAAGAGCAGCAAGTACTCTTAACCACCAAGACATCTGTCAAGCACCCAAAAGTCATTTCTCATACACTCACAGTGCAAGGCTGCCTACAAGCCAGTGTGCCACAGCCTTCCTCTAAAGCGGGCCTAATGCTGTATTTTCCCTTTATCCCTGAATCAGATTGTACAACCTGCTTCACCTTGACACCACATGTGATGTACACGACTGTTTGACTTTTGGAAACTAAAATACAGAACTGGGCTGTAGCTCAGTGAATAGAGTGCTTGTCTAGCATGCACAGGGCATTCAGTCCCCAGAACCATATAAGCTAGGTGTGGCCGTGCATACCTGTGATCTCAACACTCAGGAGGTGGAGACCAGAGATTCAGGAATAAGATCAAGAGTTCAGGGCTATCCTCGAGTACATAATGAGTCTGAGGTCAGCCTGGGGTGTGAAACCTTGTCTCCAAAAAATTAAAATGTTGTTAACATGCAGCATCAGAATTCCAATCAAAAACTACCAAATGTACTCTACTAGTGATTTACTGGTGCAATTTAATTTTCTTTACTCTTACTTTTTAACTTTACTCACATTTCACTATCCTATTGCATGCATGTCCTACTTTCACGAGTTTTTTGTGAGAACAGTTTTCATAAAATAAAACAGAAAGAAAATGCTTTTCTTTAATGTCTACTCTTTACTGCCCTCTGCAGGCAGGAGGAAAGAATACATGGATAGATTCCTACTAACATTCCCAGCCCGAGTCTCACTCAATGGGAAGTAATCGGTGATTTTTTGAGACACCACCCATTAACACCCAAACACTATCTAATCACAGAAAAAGCTTCCTATTGTTCCCTGTTATGCAAAGACTCCTGGGAACCATGCATTCTATGGGCAAGAGCTCTCCATATCTCCTACACTCACACGAATGGACATCAAAGTCTTCCCTTACCCCGGATCACGGCTTAGGTCTGTATAGCGATGTTCCTCTCGATTTGGAAAAATTGGGCTCTAAATGACAGAATACAGACACGATAGTTACCGTGACGTACAGGGGCAGGGCGTAAGCACTTCAACTTGTGAACGCTCTGCAGACACATGGCAACAATGTGGGAGCCCCTTTGACGCAGCCATCGGAGAAAATGTGAGTTTTTTTTTTTTTCATTTTCTTTTTACTAAAAGTGTAAGGGAGGCTGCAAGATAACCAGCCAACCAGCAGCTTCAGTTCACGTACAAAAGACTACTGATTATGCATGGATTATTTTCTCTGGTCACCCTACTTTGTATGGACAGCGGTACTGTCAGTGATGTCACTTTCTAAAACAACAGACATGAATATATTGTGCCAACTGAGCCCAAATCAATGACCTGAGTAATGCAATCAGGGTAACACCATTATTTCCCCGGTAAACCCTCCACGTCTGTGAATAAGAAATGCTAATCCTATGCACACTCAAGGAATAGATTTCGTGGGAAAGAAAACCAAGCCCTGTTTACTTTTATTTACATTCTAATAAGTGCTTAAAGAAAATGGATCACAGAATTTGATGTCATTGTGTACTGACAGAATGGTGCATCAGAATGCTTTGTAGGATTGTGTAAGTATCACGTTCAGTAACTGGTGAACAATCACCTCAGAGAGAAGAATATTCTTACCAAGAATATTTTCTAAAGAATTGCTCTCCTCCATTCAAAAGGAGATTCCTCGTGCCTGGTACTGAGGGTTTTGTGAGTCTGTAGTTCTCCTGGGGAACACTGTCAGCCCAAATGGTATAACTTCCTTTAAGATATATATACATATAATATATACATATATATAATATATGCATATATAATATATATGTATATACACTTATATGTATTGCGCATAATTTTAGGCAGATGTAAAATAATAAGATCAGGGTAGTCTAAGAAATTTCAAAACAACATAAACTCTTGTGACCGTGGATACAAAGGCCGAAGGTAAGTCCCTATTGCTGAAGACGCCATATACTTAGGATACAAGACTCAGATTATTCAAGCTTCAGCTAACTTGAAAGCCTTTCTGTGATCTAGCTGCCATGCTACCAGAAAATGCTAGGCAAGCTACCAAAGGGGGTGGGGGAAGCAATTAACAGTCCAATCCAGCAGTGACACCTGTGAACCACAACAATGACCAGCATGGTAACATATCCATAAAGGTACAATAAGTGGCACTACCAAGTCTGTGGTAACCAAAAACTGTCTAATTTGACTTAGGACCCACTCAACAAGAGAGAAATCATTCCTGGTACTAGAACTTAGCCAGCTTTCCAGGGAGTAGTGAGGTCATGAGTCTTAGAAGAGAATCTAACACATACCACTTTGCTAGAGCAACATAATTCCTAATCATATTCTAAATCTTATCCTTGTACTTACAGGTACGTGTAACTATTACCATTCATCATAGAATCCTCTCTACAGAAAATGGGAATCATCACAGAAAACCAAAAGTGGACACAATGCAGAGCTCAAAGGATTGTGGGAAGCCCAGCCCCAGTGGCTACATCTATATCACATCACATCTGTATCAGAGATGCTACTGCATCTATAGCTCAAGGAACTTCTCAGAAGAGGGAGCAGAAAGATTATAAGAGTCAGAATACCAGGATGTCTGCTGTCAGACATTCTCTCATAGAAATGGCTGCATAAATGAAGCCTGGACAAAGGCAATGGACATCTTACCAGATCCCACCCCTAGGCAAAGAACTACAGGGAGTTAATGAATACAGAGAGAGAATTAACCTCTCCTAGGAATGAGCCCCCTAATTGATCACCCAATACAAAGGGATCAGCTCTGAAACCATACACACAAAACAAACACAGACTCAGCAGGCTGTATTTATATATTGTGCATATATATATGTAACTATAATAATTGAAGAAAAAGAGGTTATTAGTGTAAGTGGGGGGTATGGAAGAAGTTGGAGGAAAGGGACTTGGGAGAGGCTAGGGAGAGGAAAGTGATGTAATTATATTTTAATTAAAACATGAAAATTTAAAAAGTAATAATAAAGAATTTGTCTCCAAAAGTGCTTTCACATAGCTTATTAACAACTTCTGCAACTACGGAACCAGAATTGTAGCATTTCTGATACAGGAGACAGCATTGCTTTATTGAGTGGGCAAAAAATATTATTGAAGATTTCTATCTTTTAGTTCAGTGATTCTCAACCCTCCTAAAGATGCAACCCTTCAATACAAGTCCTCATGTTGTGGAGACACCAACCATGAAATTATTTTCATTGCTACTTCATAACTGTAATTTTGTTTTGTTTTGGTTTGATTTTTGTTTTTTCGAGACAGGGTTTCTCTGTGTAGCTTTGCACCTTTCCTGGAACTCACTCTGTAGCCAAGGCCAAGGCTGGCCTTGAACTCACAGAGCTCCACCTGGCTCTGCCTCCCGAGCACTGGGATTAAAGGCGTGCGCCACCACCGCCCAGCCATAACTGTAATTTTTTTTACTGCTATGAACCATAATGTAAATATCTGTTTTCTGGTAGTCTTAGGCGGCCCCTTTGAAAAGGTCGTTCGACCCACGGTTTTAGTTCCATCTCTGCCTGCTTCGAGAGCAACCGATTTCATTCCAGTTACTTGTCTTTACAATGAGCGTAGAATGGATTTAACTCTGACTTACAATTTTTTTCAACATCTAGAAACCTAAGCTTTCTGAAGTGAAAAACGTTTCTTCCAAAGATGTGAAGCAGAGCCGGAGGGAGGTGCTGAGCGTGATGCACACCTGCTATCCCTGCCTTTGGGAGGAGGAGGCAGGAGTTCAAGGTCAGCCTCAGCTATATGACTACCTTTACCAACCTCGGTTCCATGAGACCCTACCTCCAAAAACAAAAACAAAAACAAAAACAAAAACAAAAACAAAAACAAAAAAAAGTATCCAAGGATCAGATTAAGTAGAAAATTTCTCTCTAAACCCTTTGCCACGCATCAACTGCGCAGCTGGGACTCAGAGAGACCGGCAGAGGCCCCGCCCTCTCAGGGCGGAGCCATGGGTGGTGGGCGGGCCCACTGGGGAATGGGCGGGGCCTAAGCTGAGCATGCGCAGCGCGGACCCGAGTCATGGCGGACGGTAGCAAAGCGGTGCAGGCCCGCGCGCTCCTGCAGCAATGTTTGCACGCTCACCTGCAAGTGCGCCCGGCCGACGGGGACGCCGCGGCGCAGTGGGTGGAGGTAATGCCCGGCTCTTCTCCCACGGCCGTGCTGGTCTTTCTCTCGTCTCTCGTGGGAGGAAGAGCGTGTCCCTTTCCGTCGGCTCACCCTAGTGGGCGGCCTAGTGATCGCTTTGGACTTGGCTTCTGGTGGCCTGTGTCCAACTGGCTGTCGGTAGCCTCAGCCTGCGGGCGGTCCTTCTGCCTGAAGTGTTTGGGTAACAGCGTAAGCCACCCCGCCGAACTGTACTCAGAATTTTTAGAGAATTTCATTCACCTCCACTATATTAAGATGTCATATCCAGCAGTCCTGAATATAGCCTTGTGGTCATAGTAAAGATCACTCATGAACCAACCATGTATGTGGGTGATCTTAAACCAAGCATTAAAAGCTCTAATATCACCAGATGTGGTGCCTTTAATCCCAGCGCTAGGGAGGCAGAGGCAGTTCAAGGCCATCTAGATCTACGTACTGAGTTTCAGGCCAGCCAGGGCTACGTGGAAAAAACCCTCCTTTAAATACATAATCATCAGTCAATCTTCCAGTATCCTCACTATATCCCTTTTCTCAAAATTATTTTTTCTTGCTTTCATATTTGTGTTAGGGCTTTTCCTTGAGGTTTTGAAATTTTGTTTATATCTTAAAAAATTACCTATTTTAATTGCCGTCTGGTAGGATAAATTCCAAACTTAATCATTTAGAATCCACCCTTTGTCATTTCTCTGTTTTTCCCACCATATTTCCTGATGCAGAATCGCACATTTTATTGCAGCCTTTCAAACTGTCCCCTTGTGTTTATAAAATTTAAAATTTAAAAGCTGTTTCGAAGGCTTCTCCTTCCCTCCCACACATTTAAAGAGCTGACGAGTAATTAGTCATCCTTTACTCTGTTTTATTATCAAAGCTGATTTTTTTTTTAATGAAACAGCGTTTTGTTTGAAAATTACCTTGCTTCTTAGTTTTGTTCATGTAGACTTTGCTGTCCCAAAGGAATATTTTCCTTCCTGAGAATTGAACATTTCAAAGCTACAGTAAGAATTGTATTGGTAATGTATACCAAAGAAGCTTTAAGAAAAATTATTTCTTTTTAACTTGAAGAGAGGGATTTTTTAGGTCACAAGTTAAGATCTATTATTGAAATTAAAAGAAAATAATATATGTAGGTAGTAATGCTGTGATTGGGAAGTGTGGGTGTTTTCTGGTAATGATTAGGTACTTAATTCTGGCCTCCAGGTACCAAATGTGACTGTAGAAGATTTGGGCTGCAGTTCAGAATTCTGTTGGTGGAGAGACTTCTTCTTATAGTAATACAGATATCTGTGATTCACTGGCCAGCCCTGCAACCATAGATGTGAGGTTCTTGTCTATGGCTACAGAAGTACAATTGCCCTTAGGGAAAAAAAAAAAGACTACTGGGCTGTAGAAATGGCTCATCAGTTAAGAGCAAGTGCTGCTCCTAGAGAGGACCAAAGTTCAGTTCTCAGCAAGCACGTTGACTCACAACCACCTTTAACTCCAGCTCCACGGGATCTGATGGCCCCCTGTCCACGGGCTTGATAGGCTCCTGCCATTGTACACACACACACACACACACACACACACACACACACACACACACACACGCAAACACGTACACATAATTAAAGTAAATGTTTTTTTCAGGTAATCCAAGTATGAGTGCAGAGCTATATTTATACCATTTAGGTAAACAGAGCCAGAAAGATATAGTTAAATGTTAATGCCACTAACTGTTAAATTGAGTCCCAATCATGTATAAAGCATGCAAAATTGCTTGGCAGCTAAAATGTGAAATACACCATGCCTCAGCCTTTAAATTTATTTATATAGCATTTGATAAACACCTGTGTCATCCTTACTGTGAACCCAGCACTGTTTTAAGTAGTTTGCAGTTATTAACGCCTTTCATATTTGTGGTTGCTCCTGAGTCAAATGAGGTTCCTGGCGTCAAACAGATTAGCATAGACTCACAGCTCAAAGGATCCCTTCAACAGTAGCTTTGTAGTCATTTATCTCGTGACTTAGAGGCGTTCAGTCATAATCCCACAGATGGTAGCTTCGCCCCATTGGCTCCTCAGCCAAGCACATACACCAAATGTCTTGTGGTCTGTCTTACAGGAACTAGTTAAAAAAAAATCCAAGTCATTATATAGGATGAATAAATCTATATTCCTGATAACAGCCAACCTTTTCATATAAAATTATTGGCATAAATGTGATTTTCAAAGCCTAATCACTGGGTTTACGTAAAGCATTGACCACACTAACAGAAAAAGCAACTGAAGAGTTCCCTGGAGCTTGTAGAAATAGGAAATACTACTCTCTTCAAATAAATGACTGAGGGGAAAATAAAGAGGAGCATCAGAAGACATCCGGGACACCGTTGCTTATTCACAGTCCTGTGTGCTCCAACAGGAATTCATTTGGTGTGGGATAAATCAGCCTGCAAGCAGACTGTTTCTAAGTCTGCCAGCCTTGCCTGGTGGGGTGAGGCTGCTGGAAAGTTCTGTGACTTAGGAGAAATAAGTGAAGGTGTGATGTGTAATTTTCACTGCTCTTGACTTTAATGTCATCTTAAGTTTTGAAATAAATAATCATGGTGATTAAGACTTGCAGAAGATTTTGGTTTCTCATAATTTACTTAGAATTCAAAATTATTCTTGTTTCTGTCTCTTGGCTTTTAAGTCCATTCTTGAAAACATTGTGAATCGAGCTGTTTCTCTGTAGACTCCTTCCTAATCTAGACTCCTGTGGTGATTTCTCACAGATCCAGAGAGGATTAGTGATCTATGTGTGCTTCTTCAAGGGAGCGGACAAAGAACTTCTTCCCAAAATGGGTATGTGTTTTCTGTCTTCTCCCAGGGAGAGGGGCACGGGGACGTCGTGTTGAGACTCCTTGTGATGTAGGAGTGTAAAGGTGCAAAGATGGGACCACGAGTGAGCAAATGAACAAACAGTGCAAGCACCACTGTGCTGGTGTTGGTGGATTTTGTTTTGTTTTTGATGGGCTTGGGGTTAAACCTAGGCCTTGTATTAAGCAAGTGCTCTGCCACTGACCTGTAACCTCCTCTGAGAAGCATAATTTATCTTATTTTTACTTTGATTTCACTGTGGTGCTGGGAATTGAAGCCCGGGCCTAGAGCATGTTAAGGAAGTGCTCCACCACTGCACTATATCCTAAGCCCTTTTTAGCAATTAACATCCAAACAAAAACATTTTGAATGGGAAAAAAAAATGCCATAATGAGACCTAATTCTTTGTAAACTGGTATTTTCCCCCTAAAACTCTTAAATCAAGGTCTTGACAATTTACCCAGCTGACCTTCAATGCCTTCTGCATCCCAGGGGGGACTTGAGTGTGCAGTCTTTTCACTACAGCCTGTTGAGTAGCGAGACTGGCAGGCCCAGCTGCAGGAACACAGGGCAGTTGGTTGGTTGGTTCTTCCTCCTTTTTTTAAAATATGTATTGGTGTTTTGCCTGCATGCATGCCCTGTGCCCTCAGAGGTCAGAAGAGGGCATCAGAGCCCCTGGAACCCAAGTTACAGGAGCTTGTGAGCTGCATGTGCTGCTGGGACTAGAACCCAAGTTCCCTGGAAGAGCATCAGGTGCTCTTAATTGCTGAGCCATCTCTGCAGCCCCAAGAAGCATGATCCTAAATTGTTCTGGTGTATTAATTATATTGCTTATTGTAAAATTTAAGGAATGTAATATGGCACAATTTAAAATATCGCCGTGTTGCAGATGGTTTGTAGACTGATTTTGAAGATAGACCCATAAGCCCATGTACATAACGCCCTTCTTCTGCCCGGAAAATGGAAGGTTGTGAGAGAAGGGGGCCACGGAGTCCAAGCAGATGCTGCCTGTGTGTGTGTGTGTGTGTGTGTGTGTGTGTGTGTGTGTGTGTGTGTGTGTGTTTTAATATTCATTTTACAAAATGACAGGTTTTATAGAAGTATGTCACGTACTTTGACCTTATTTACTTCCCATTACCCTCTCTTGTCCCCTCTCATTCTGCATGGTCCCGTCCCTCTCCCCATCAGATAAGAGCATCCCTAATAGGGCAGTAGATGACAGTGTATGTACAGCATGTGTGTCCAATCAAATCTAAACAGCTCAGCCTTCTATCATTGATAGAGGAGAATTTATAGCAACCATTTATGTAGATTTTTGTATAATTGGGCAAATATAGTTCTCCTGGTTCTTGAACCAAACTTAGTGTTATCACAGCCACACTTGCTCTGAGGGTATAGAAAACAGAGTAAATGCTCAGGGATCACAAAACAATAACTTACCTGCAATAGCTTTCCAGTATCCTATACAGTCAGTCCATGGCCCTGCACATCCCTTGTGATAGGTAATTCCGTGGGCTCAGATGTACTGAATCGAGTGACACTGGTACACGGCAGTATTTGGTTCAGAAAAAGACCTGAAATAATGGAACTCTTCCTAAGATTGGGGGCAGTGTATATGCTCTGCATTGGTGAAATATAGAGAGTAATAAGTGATTTAAGCTGAGCACAGTAGTGTGTGTCTATAGTTACAGCTACTCGGGGGGCTGAGGCAGGAGGGTCCCTCGATTCTGGGCTTGGAGACCAGCCTGAACAAGAGAGCTGGCCTTGTCACCAGAGAAAAAACAATACAGATAGTTAAAGCTTACAGAAGTTAACCTAGACACGATGAGTGGAAAGGAAGCTCATGGCAGATAGCCCCTTGACAACACCTTAGCCAAAAAGCCAAAACTTAGGAAATTTTACACCGATATATCAAACTTGCTTGACAACTTTGTCAAGGCATGGAAACTCCATGAGAGAGGCCTGTGACAGGAGGGTGGAAAGCTAATAACTAATAGTTTGGAATTTGAATCTAGAGAATAAGGAGCCTTGGAAGGCCTAAGAAAGTGAGGTGAAGCTCCTTCCGTTCTAGAGGTATTTGTGAGCACACCTTTAATCCCAGCACTTGAAAGGCAGAGGCTGGTAAATCTCTGGGTTCGAGGCCAGCCTGGTCTACAGAGTGAGTTCCAGGACAGCCAAGGCTACACAGAGAAACCCTGTCTTGAAAATACAAAACCACAAAAAAACAAACAAAAGAAAAAGATTGACTTTGCAAAGTTGTCTTATGATGTCTTAATCATAGCGAGGTAAAATAAGCCCACCAAGCCCAAGCTGCGGTTTGCTTTATAGCGACTGAATCTATATGTTTCTGTCTTTGTCTTTATGAGTTCACTCTAAATACATGGGTAAGACTATTGAAAACACAGAGGACACCTTCCTTAAGTCTTTTAATGTATAGTTTAACAAACAAATGTGGATTGAGAGATGAGTTTGTACTTCCCTCTCTATTCCATGAGTGAGCCAGTGTGAGGAGGTTCTCTTAAAGCCCGTCTCCTACTTACTCATGGATCAGACCTTTCCAACCAAGCCTTTTATAACAAGTTATGTCCATGAAGTCTGAAATACCATAGCTAACATAGAAATGTATAAGATCTTCCTCATTTCATCTCCAAAGTAATAGTACCAAGATCAGGGATCTGTCAAAGCTAGATTTCCTGTCTGGGTCACTGGTGTTTAATAACCTGTCTTACATTCTTTAAGTTTCTAACATGCTATTATCGTCTAATTTCAATTCAACTTGCCTCTGTTTCTCTTTGTGCTGTATCCACTTCTACGTACAGACACGTGAGTTCTCAGTTACAGCCAGTAGAGGGAGGTGTGTGAAAGTATAATAAAAATGCTATTACTGCTCATTGCCTCTTAATCCAGATTGCTAACTTAGGCTGTCCCAAGCCTGAGGCCTGGCTTGCTAAATAATGATTTTGATTGCAATGAAGTGTTCAGGAGAGTCCTGTTTCCTGAGATGTAGTCAGTAGGCTGCTGGCTGTCAGGCAGAGACCTGTTCACAACGGAGAATTACAAAGGCGTTTCAAGAGAGATGTGAGTTCAATGAAAGGTGATGAGGCTTGCAGCTGAGGCTAGGAATCGACTGATTGTTACCGTGATGAGTGCATGTTTTGTAGAGCAGGGTAGTGACCAATCCCTTACTGACGTTTACTACAGAATGGGGAGTAATTGAAATCAACCAGACCAGAAAGCATGTCTTTAAAAAAAAAGACTCTGTGTATCCCAGGCTGGGCTGGAACTCAGAGATCTCTCTGCCTGAGGTGAAAGGCGTGATCTACCGTGTCTGGTGGTGAAAGTGTGCCTTTCAAAGCGTGGTTGGAGGACAGGAGCGTAAGGTTTAGAGACTTTCTTTACTACTTGTTCTGTTCTTGATAAGAAGAAATCATGTTTACCTTTGTAAAGGGAGAGAGAACCTAAGTCTAGACATACACATTTTTATTACTTCAAAATGGTTAATGTTGGGAAATTCTGAGTTTAGGTTTCTGAATACACATGGATGTTCATGGTGGTTGGGTAAAGAGTCTCGATGCTATGAAAACATCACTGGGTGTTTTGTTTGAGGGCTGGCTTTTTGTTTGTTTGTTTTTGAGGTTTTGTTTTTATTTTGTGTGTATGGCTGCTTTGCCTGCACATGTCTGTGTGCCATGTGCGTGCTTTGCCTGCAGGGGCCAGAAGAGCGCATTGGAGCCTCTGGTACGGGAGTGAGAGACAGTTGTTAGCTGTCATGCGGATGCTGGGAACCAAATCTCAGTCCTCTGGGAGAGTAGCCAGTACTTTTAGCAACCAAGTCTTCTCTCCAGGCTCCACCGTATACATATATGTGTATACATACACATATACATTTATGCTGCCAGCTCAGTATCTTTTGTTTACTTTTCCATTTGTAATAATGAATTTCACCTTTGCATTTCCCCAATAGGCCTTATTTATAAAACGTTAGTCCATGTTAATATTGCCTTAAATTGTGAAACTACAAAATCATCGTTTATCGTGGAATTGAACCAGTGGGTATTTGCTTATGAAGTAAAAGGAGCAGAGAGACAAACCTCCATGTATTCCCAGAGGCAACGATATTTGAGGTTCTAATGTACAGTTAATTCTTCGGATGTAGGCCTTTCTGGACGAACTTCGTATAGGAGAGCCTAATTGTTGGATCAGATTCGAAGCACCTTGGTATTTTCTGTATGAAATTCAGAATTTTCTCAGGGGTGTGTGTGTGTGTGTGTGTGTGTGTGTGTGTGTGTGTGTGTGTGTGTTTGGGCTGTGTCATTTAGTGAAGCCCCGCCCCCCCCTTTTAACATCAAGAGACTGGGTTTTAAATATGAAACTTGATAACCAGTGAAAAGGTTGGTGGTTTTCTTTGTTTTCACTTCAGAACGTGTTCCCTTTCTTCCCTACCAGTGAATACGCTGTTAAATGTGAAATTAAGTGAAACAGAAACCGGCAAGCACGTCTCCATCCTGGACCTGCCTGGTGACGTTCTCATCATCCCTCAGGCCACCCTCGGGGGCAGAGTGAAAGGAAGAAGCATGCAGTACCACTCCAACTCCGGGAAGGAGGAAGGCCTAGAGCTGTACTCCCAGTTCGTGGGTCTGTGTGAACAAGCGCTAGCCGCCAACAGCAAGTGCGCCGAAGCCGGGGTTGTAGTGGCGCACGGCACCTACGGGAACAGGCAGGTGTTGAAGCTGGACACCAATGGACCGTACACGCACCTAATTGAGTTCTGAAAGGTCCGTTTCCACAGCTGCTGCCCCGTATAAAGGGCCTGGACTCTACTTAGGTTTTCTCCCCTTCATCTTGAAGACACAGATCTGTAACATGTTTACGCAAGAAAACCCTGCATCCAAGCTGCGTATAGTGGCACATTCCTTTCATCCCAGCGCCCGGGAGGCAGAGACAGGCAGATCTCTGTCACTTGAGGCCAGCCTGCTCTACAAAGTGAGCTCAAGGACAGCCAGGGCTGTCAAGAGACCCTGTCTCAAAAAAAGAAAGAAATTGGGAACATAAGTGAGTCACTTGTCAAAGGCAACACTAGATTTTGCAAACTCCTCTACTTGACTTAAAATACATTTTTAAGAGTGAAAACTAGGGTGTAGCGGTGACTAGTGAGTTCTTGCTGCTCTTCCAGAGGAGCTGGATTCAGTGCCCAGCATGGATAGCTCCTAACAGTCTGTACCTAAAGATCTAGGGGATTGGAGAGCTCCCACATGCACATAGCATGTAAAATTAATAAAAATAAATATTAAAAACGTCAAGGTATTTGTAAAGTGAAAAATGAATATTTCTAATTACCAGAACTAGAAGTCTAAGGCAGCTGCTGGAACCTTCCTGGTATCTCAGACTTTCCTCGGTCTGTTCTGATACTTTAAATTCCTATTGCACACACACCCCAAAATCCCTTTTTTATGGCTTTCCTGTACTGTTCTATTTTGGAACTTAAGAATCAATAACTTGAGCTCATTATCTTTAACTTTTGTTTTATTGATTCACAATACAGTTGTTGAAATGTAATAAACTATTCATAAGCTTAGAAACCCCACTTTTCCCTAAATTTTCTCCAAGGACATGTGCATGTCTTTCAAAAAGATTACATTATTTACTTTAAATCGTTTTGACTTTATGCCCAGGTAAAATGCTGACTCACAGCCCTAGATGGAGTTCAAGCAATTCTCCATACAAAAACTGCCTGAGATGCTTGTGGAGAAAGGTACTCCAAGTTCATGGAAGGTTGTTAATTAGAAAGGATGGCAGATGGGGAAAGCCGGAAAAAATAATAGACTTGGAAATGACTTTGCCTTAGCTTTTGATAGTTTTTTTTTTTTTTTTTTTTTTTGTCCAAGGGGTTTCAAAAGCCCATCAATATACACATTTTATTTTCATGTCTATAATGAAGATAGCACTGTGGTCATCCAATACAGAAGAGTCATCTCCATCCTCTAACTTTTAGAGTGGGACTTGTTGCCAGTTCATTGGTTTATTGACTAAACTAGGCACAAGGAGAATTGTTCTTTACGTAGATGCCTTATGGCTCAGTTTTCTAAGATTTTACAATGTTTCAAACAATATACTTCCTAAATATTTTTCAAAAGTTGGTTTTATTTTTTGTTATCTCAAGCATATGTGTCTGTCTGTCTGTCTATAGGTATGTCCACATGAGTGCAGGGGCCCTTGGGGATTAGATGCTCCCCTGGAGCTGGAGTTACAGGTGGGTGTGCCCAATGTGGGTGCTAAGATAAGCAATGCATGCTCTTAACTCCTGAGCCATCTCTCCAAGCACCCCCTAAGGGTTTTTTAACCTTTCAGTTTAGAATCTGGGACCCACTTGTAGAAAATATGATATGTAAGGTGCAACAGATGTGGTTAATGTCTATGACACATGCATATAAAGTAAAATGAGGGAACTGGAGAGGTGGCTTAGTGGTCAAGAACATGTACTCTCCAAAGACCAGAGTTCAGCTCCCAGCACCCATGTCAGGCAATGCACAGCATCCTGTAACTCCAGCTCCAGGACTCTGCCCTGCACTCAAGCGCATGTATACACACGCGCGCGCACACGCATGCACATCATTTAAAAAAAAAGCAAAATGAAGCACACCTTTATCATTACTTCAGATTTTTAAAAGAAGGGCGGAGGCACGCATGCAGTACCTGTACAGGCCATAAAACAGCATCAGATCCTCGAGAATTAGAGTTACAGATGATTATTACCTGGCTGTCAGCCACCACGTGGGTGCTGGGAACTGAACCTAGGTCTTTTAGAAGAGCAGCCTTAACCCCTGAGCCGTCTCTGCAGCCCCACAACCTATTACTTGATTGAAATAAATGTTTTGAAGTATTATGTTAAGATGTGTTACATTCATTTATGCTGTGTAATATTTGTTTAATGATAAAAAGATGTGTTGCGTTCTTTTATGTTACGTTTGTTTAACTCTGTAAAGCTGTGTTACTTTGCTTGTCTAAAACACCTGATTAGAGTGGTGGTGGTGGTGGTGGTGGTGGTGGTGTCTCACACCCTTAATCCCAGCACTCGGGAGGCAGAGGCAGGCGGATCTCTGTGAGTTCGAGGCCAGCCTGGGCTACAGAGTGAGTTCCAGGAAAGGCTCCAAAGC